ATTAAAATGACATGTACTGTACATGTATCTCTCCACCCTGATATAGGTTTGCACGCTCACTTGTTTGAATCTAATGTAAGAGTTCACAAATCGTGATTTCTAAATGCTGACGACTTGCAAGCAGAAGAATATTGCAGTTGTTACAGTATACAGTAACTAATTTTCTGTGGCAAAATTGCATATTAAGTAAACTCTAAACAGGACACTGTAGAACTTAACTACAATCTGGTATGAGCACACAGACATTCTACATCATGTGCATACGCCTGTGTGTGTTTGAAGGCTCAGCCCAGTGGTTCTGGTTCTGGCCATCTCAGGCTGAACTTTCAGACTGGTAGTCTAGATTATCAGTTAGCCCTAGTGGACAGATGGAAAATTGCAGGTTACACGCCAGGACACCCTATCCCTGCAGCCTACCAGTCCAGAACAGGACTAGTAGTCTGGGTTGTTTTAGGCCTTCACGGCCGTCTAGCCTAAGTAGGTCAGACTGGTAGCCCTGGGAGTTGAGCACAGTGGGCACAGAATCCAGCCGTCCAGGCCACACAGTTCAGACTAGTAGGCCAAGATCTCAGCCTGGTAGGCCACAAGCATTTTCAATCAATCATACCTGGAGTTATAAACATCGCTGATCATTGATTTTCACATGAAGAGTGCCTGATGATGACAGCTTTAGATTGATACCACACTTAAGGGTTTACAGTTACACTGCTTGATTTTCCAATTGTTGGTGTCTTTTCCAAATTTAAAGTGACCAGTGTTTATAGGTCCATTGACAACAGCCACAGAGTCAATTACAAAAATAGGCTAAAGACTCAAAATAGTATTCCAGTAACTTAAAGATAAATAATCATTACATTGCTGCCAAGTGTTTATGCTTCTCGAAAAACTTTAAGATTATGATGAGCACGAGTCTTAAAGACTTGGAGGCCACTTTCACTGATGTCTCTGACCACTCATGACTTAGATGCTGCTAAACGTAGGTCATGGCTGTTGGAAGGAGCTGGCTTTTGCTAGTTTCTGGAAGCCACTTGTCAAAAGTGTAGTCATGTAGAGATCAGCTGACTTTAGAATGAATGAATGAAAGACTATTGTATGTGCTCTAACAAGCTAAGTACAGGTCATGAATAGACAAGGAAAAGGAGCAATGACACTTAAATGCGTACTAATGTGATCTACTATTTACAGGTTCAACTTCTTCTGGCTTCTTGACGCAGTTATAGATGTACAAGCAATGTATATAGAACTAAAAATACATGGTTTGTCAAGCTTCATAAGAAATATGAGTATTTACATGTATCTGTCCAGGTTGATATATGCCCATCCAGTGCTGAAGTATACACAAAGTCAGGACAACACAACCAGCAGACTGTAGTACAGTTTAACTGTCCCCTACCATCGCCTACAATGTATTTGTGGGCTAATTTCAATATCTAAATAGCAGCTACCATAAGTCTAAAAGATCTATGTCACATTCAAAATCTCTTTAAGATTGGAAAGCTATGAGAAGTTTGATTACAGTAACTGTACCTCAAGATCTAACAAATCGTTTTAACTTAAGTCATATGCATGAACTCTGAAGGTTTTTGCATTATGGTAGAGAAACAGGTAAGTTAATATACATTGTTTAAGTATGCTCTTTTGAATAATATTGCCAAACTCTTATGTGATACTAAGTACGTTGAATACATTTTATATGTTATAACTTTTATGTCAATACATGTAGCTCCCAAGATGCTGCAGTACGAATTTGGAACATTACTTCCTGAATCTAAGGCCACAGCAAGTAATTTTTATGGATGACGTCAGCATTAATTTTCGCCTAGGTTTAAAAAAAAAAAACGAAATTGTGTTGCCTTCTGACAGTGGTCACCAGGCCGAAAATGGGCAAAGATGTCTGTTGCCAGAAGGTGGATGGCAGATAACTGAAGAGAGGAGACAAAAGGCTCAGAGCTGATTTAATGTTTTGTTTCTTACTTTGAAGCAGTGATATGTGATGTTGGCTGTGTATATGTGATGTTCCCACTGAATCAAAACCATTTGTACACTGAGTCAAAATTTTGAAATGTAGGAACCTTGTTTTTTTCGGCCCACTTTTTTTTTTGCCCGCTCGCATTAGATTTGGAGTCTGCAGGGGATGTCATCCATAAAATTTACTTGCTGTGGCCTAAACTCGCCACTGTTGTGTATGAAGCAAGTCAAATTGATTTTAAAAAAAGCCAGTGTTGCCATTTCCAGTATATAGTCAGTGGGCTATCTCCAAAGCAGTGCTGGTCAGCTGCTTTGAAGAAACAGAATTGCTGTGAATTTTAGCCCTCTGCTTGACAGTACATTTTCTCAATCTTGTAGAAACATTTCTGTATGAAACAGAACAGGTTTTTCAAACATGTCAGAGATAGAAGTAAAATAGGTAGAGGGAGGGTAAGACAATTCGGGTGTACTGTAAAAAATAAGGTATTGTATTACTCGTATTGGTTAAATATGATCTATGCATTGAAGATCTTGTGCCTGGCTAAACTTAAACACTGTTGAATGTACATCAGAAATAATAAAAGAAAATTTATTGATTGTGACTGCCTATCATCATCATTTGCCTATATGTGAAACTAAATTTGTTTGTTTTAGTGGTCATGATACCTAATCTCCAAGCAGATCCCTATCGGTGACAAAAGACAGTATCCATTAGCCATAGGAGTTTAGCTCGCCACCTTCTCTGGCTAAAGGATACGGCCTGGCCAATTTGATACTGTATTTTTGCCACCGATAGGGATCTGCTTGGAGATTACATGATACCTGGGTGCATTGGGTTACGGTTTGGCGGACGATGTAGCAAGAGATATTTTTTGGGGAAACACTGAATGTTTAGACAAAAGCAGAAAATTTCTGTAGCCCATCCGAATTCGTCCTGACTACTGGCAGCTGCTGTATTTAAACAGAATTTTTCTCTCATTTCGTTCGAGAATCCTATGTTATTGTTTGTACACAACCTTAACGTCATAATGAGCCGTGTTTTCTTCTCAGATAAGGGTTATCCGAAGTTGTAAAATATATCAGCCATGAAATAACCTCCTAAACATTCACAGTACACCCCTAACAATGCTTTATCACGTCTGTTCTGGAACAATGAAAAGCGCGAAGCCCTGACGACCACAATCGAACACCTTGGGAACGCCCACAGACCACTGCAACCTCCGAGACGAACGGACGTGCGCGCCGCTTCTCTGCCAAACAGTTGCTTCCCGATTTGACCAGCGCTCGCGTTAGAGCCACACACTCCGGGAAAGTGTTCATTAATCTTGCCTGCACTCTGAGCTGAAATAATGGCGCCGTAAACACCGAGGCTAAAAAGTTAGGAGCAGCTGAATAGTTGCCCATCATCAGAGAACATCTAGAGGATTCACCTGACTACTTCCTGCAGCTACACTGATTTCCGCTAGAGGGCGTTCCCGCGTTACACCCCAAAGTCCGCTGAGAAATCTGAGCTCCACCTTCCATTTCTACACTGCAGTCGCACCGAGCAAGATGGGTTAGACTCAAGTTACGACTCCGCCGGTCCTGAGTGCCTTCAGGGGCACTTGGGGGCCAAAGACTCTGATCAGAGAACTGTTGTTTTGTTAATCACAAACTTTATAATTTTTGTATGGACAAACAGTTATATTTTTCGTTCTGACAAAGTCGACAGTGTTCAAGCATCAAACATCCAATATCATTGAAGGTAAGTTAAAGTTGATTATGTTTTGAAGTTTTTGGAAGTGGAAGGGTGGAGTTTTAAGGGTAGAATTCGTGACTTGGGGCCGTGTGTAGTACACTTGTTACCGGAACAAGGTCCAGTGGGCGGTTGTGGTGTTTTGTTCAATGATTCTGGTCTAGAAACAACTGGATTGACAGGACGTGTTGACAGCCCCCCTCCCCACACACATTCGTGCAGCGACAAACGATGGCTATTTTAGAACTCGTAGAAACGTAACGTATGTCCAACTTTATTTAAGTGGGAAGCACGCATGTGAAAGCCTGTAAAAATATTATTTCTTGAAGTTTATTTGTTGATACAGCCCCATAACTCGTACTGTCTGGGTTGACCTGGGTTAATGCTATAAACAATGCAGGGCTCAAAATACTGGGTGCATGTGCACCTAAGTGCACCCAAAATTGGAGCTGTGCACCCAATTTTGTTGCACCCAAATGTTTTTGTAGGTATTTTTGTACATATTAAATGTATAGTAGTAAACAAGATATTCTTGACATCTAAATGTCAGAAAAATAATAAAATCATTGTTATAGTATTTTAAAGTTAGCCCTCATTTCAAATTTAAGCTAGAAGTGGACCTGTAACATCTGTAATTAGGTTTTGTATTATATGGTGCACTCAAAAAAATTTTTGTGCACCTAAATTTTTTAGTTGGGTGCATCAGTAAACCTATTCCCAAAAATGAATTTCGAGCCCTGCAATTGATGTTTCTTATAACTTGAGATATGGGATGAAATGAACAATCTTCTTGTGTACAAAAGTGAACTTCAATTGTTCTGGTGGAATTAACATTATGTGAATTGGTTGGGTTACTTCTTTCAGTTTCACTTTGAAGATCTTTCAACTCATGATAAGTGTTCTCTGTGTTAAAAAAATTATAAGAATCAGTTCTTTGCCTGCATCCTGTATATTATAACTATATTGCTAGCCAGTCTCCAAAAATTAGACAGGATTTAATATACTATATAGTACAAGGAATTAATGACAATTTTCACCAAAAGCAGTTACTCAAGCAACTGGATATGATTTTGAAAACGTCAGACGTTTCTTTGCATATCAATCAATAGGTTGTGCTTATAAACCTGCTTTTCCCCTCTGGTCTCTCAGTCACTGACAAAAGCTAGACGTGGATACTAGCTGAAACATCTGACGTTTCAAAATCATATCCAGTTGCTTGAGTAACTGCTTTTTGGCATATCGTATTACCTGGATGTCTAACCTTCATCGACAATTTTTTTTTCCTTTTCATATTTCAGTAGTTAAAGAACAAAAATCAACATGAGCAACTCTAAGTCTAAGAAGGAAAGCTATGCTCTGCGCCAGCAGAAATACAGTAACGCTATCATCCGTGGCCGTCGACACGTCCCCACCCCTGAAGCCGTCCCACCGTCCTCTCTCCTGGACGCCCCCCCACTGTCTCCTGTACCACTGCCTTCACCCCCCAGGGAGTGTATACCTGAGTGGGACGACCCGCCAAGACTGGTCACCAACCTAAACAGGAAACAACCAGCTCCTCAGGGTGGATTCACGGCAGCTAACAGGTAATTATCAAGTTTCATGTAGTACACTGTCCTGGTTAATAGGTAAGGTGTCAAGTTTTGTGTACACCTGTCCTTGTTAATAGGTAAGGTGTCAAGTTTCATGTACAGTTGTCCTGGTTAATAGGTAAGGTGTCAAGTTTTGTGTACACCTGTCCTGGTTAATAGGTAAGGTGTCAAGTTTAATGTACACCTGTCCTGGTTAATAGGTAAGGTGTCAAGTTTAATGTACACCTGTCCTGGTTAATAGGTAAGGTGTCAAGTTTTGTGTACACCTGTACTGGTTAATAGGTAAGGTGTCAAGTTTTGTGTACACCTGTCCTGGTTAATAGGTAAGGTGTCAAGTTTCATGTACACCTGTCCTGGTTAATAGGTAAGGTGTCAAGTTTCATGTACACCTGTCCTGGTTAATAGGTAAGGTGTCAAGTTTCATGTACAGTTGTCCTGGGTAAGGGTTTCTTTGATCAGTATCTGTTAATTAATGATGATGATGATGTATCTGTTCAAGATAAGTCTTTTAGTAATAAGTCCTTGTTCTTCTTTGCACAGGTATGCCAGGACTCCCACACACCCGGATGAAAATGCTAAGGTGTTTGAAGAGTATGCAGAAAGGATGAATGATATCCAACAGAAGCAGAACAACATGGGAGAGGGCAAGCGACCGAGGAAACCCTCCAGACGTCCGCAGACCCCAGCTCTTGTCTCCATGATGATGGGCTCTATGAATGATGAGAACATGACAGAGATGGATTGCTACATGGCAACGATGGATTCCAAGAAGAAGGTACGCGAGCCCATGGGAGCTGACAAAACACGGGCCAGAACAGCCTGCAAACACGCCGCGAAAGCTCCCACATTGAAGTCTGTGGAAGAGCAACAGGTATTCTCACTCGGACGTTATGAGGAGAGAGTCCCAACTGCAGCAGAGTACAATGACAGGATGGGACAAATCATAGAGGAGTTGAGATCTCCCGAGCCTGCTGGAGCTTTCACCCCCACGATGGACAAGCAGGCAGACTGCGGAATAGCTGTGGTGGAGCAGGTGATGGAAGCAGACACAAACCATGAGGGTAAGAAGAAGAAAAAGAAGAACAAGAAGAAGAGGAAAACTCGTGTGGAGACACCACCCGACTACACGGCAAATGTCGGGCTCGGCAACGTGAGCATGACGTCTCTTGAAGCGTGTGACCTTGACTGGCAGGATGAAGGTCGAGTACAGAGCTGTTACAAGACGTCCCCACAGTCTGGACACCTGAGCAGGGAGGCTGACACACCCACCATCCAGGACACGACAAAGGACTGGATGTACTTCATCAGGAAAGCTGGGCTTGAGGAGATGATGGAGTCAGACCCTACCAGGGACGAGGACAGGAGGACACCGGTCCAGGGCAAAACCACCAAGAACAAGCACAAGGCAAGAAAGGAGAGGCTTGTCTTACCCAGCCTGACTTCAGATCCAGGACTGATGCTGCAGGGAACCAAACTTCACACACCTGGTGAGTTTTGTAATGTAGGAACCAAACTTCACACACCTGGTGAGTTTTGTAATGTAGGAACCAAACTTCAAACACCCCAAATATATCATGCAGTTACCTGATCTAGTATTGTGCATTGCACAATGACTTAATCTTCCATTTGTCCTGTTATATCTAGGTGTAAGCCTCCCCTCCATAGGAGATGGTGTTCTGTCCACTGCTACCAGACCCAACATCCCTGATGAGGACATGGGAACACAGTTGCCACCGGTGAGTTTGAATTTGCACTGTGAGTTCTGCACATGAACTGTGTACTGTGTAAGGGCCTGGTAAGTATGAGATGATTTTCCTGTTGCATGACTGAGGGAGTATTAGTTAGTGTAACATCCTTCCCAGAGACAGAATGGCTGACTGAAGGAAACTGTAGCAGCTCCTTCTATGTCCTGTAGCTGTACAAGATCTGTAACTCCTCTCCCCTTCAAAATGAAGTCCACAGGTGCAGATGGACTTTCTTCGGACACATTCTCCGCATGTCACCTGACTCACCTGCACAAAAGGCTCTTTAACATCGCCTTTAGCAGAAAGCTCGCGCCAAGAAAAGGCGGGCCCCGAGGAGGTCTTCTGGACTGTCTGTTAGAAGACATCAAGTTGTACTTCCAGGAGAACATCAAAACCGAGGCCTACGTTCTTAAGTGGCTACGAGACCAGGCAAGGCAGAAGGAAAAGTGGAATGGACTGTATAAGAACATTAAGGACTCATACTGATTTGTTGTGCCGATCCGGCTTTACCTTTGGGCAATTAGCCGCAGATTGGTACCCGAGAACAGTTATTTATTATGATTATTATTATGTCCTCTAACTGTTTCTTCTCTCCATGATCCACACCAGCTGCAGTTTGGCACCAAGCAAGTCGGGAAGACGACATCAGAAACTGTGACCTTCAAACAGCCCAGCGACAAGTCCAAAGTCCGCAGCACCAAGCGGCGCCAGAAGACCGACCGTGCCTCGCTGAAGGACAAAAAGTCCCAGAAACGGCGCCATAACAGCCCTGACCTCTCATCACCTGACTTGTAAGTTTGGTGGAACGGTGGATGCCTTATCATCATGCACAGAATACTTATTGGCAATGATTCATGTGTGTATCTAACTATGTGTAAAACTGTGTTGCCTTGATCAATCTCTGTTGTTAAATGTACAGTACCTAAAACTTTGTGTAGATATAATCATTTTGAACAACAGCACCTGAAACTGTGCGTATGCATAATCATTTCCAACAACAGCACCTGAAACTGTGCAAAATGATTTTTAACAACAGCACCTGAAATTGTGTGCATAATTATTTTCAACAACAGCACCTAAAACTATGCAAAATCGTTTTCAACAACAGCACCAGAAACTGTGTGCATAATTATTTTCAACAACAGCACCAGAAACTGTGAATATATTAATCATTTCCAACAACAGCACCTGAAACTGTGTGCATAATTATTTTTAACAACAGCACCTGAAATTGTGTGCATAATCATTTTCAACAACAGTACCTGAAACTGTGAATATATTAATCATTTCCAACAACAGCACCTAAAACTGTGCAAAATCATTTTTAACAACAGCACCTAAAACTGTGCAAAATCATTTTTAACAACAGCACCTGAAACTGTGTGCATAATAATTTTCAACAACAGCACCAGAAACTGTGAATATATTAATCATTTTCAACAACAGCACCAAAAACTGTGAATATATTAATCATTTTCAACAACAGCACCTGAAACTGTGAATATATTAATCATTTTCAACAACAGCACCAGAAACTGTGAATATATTAATCATTTTCAACAACAGCACCAGAAACTGTGAATATATTAATCATTTTCAACAATAGCACCTAAACCTGTGTGTAAATATATTATTACCGTAATCATTTTTAACAACAGCACCTGAAACTGTGAATATATAATTATTTTCAATAACATCACATTTAAATGAGTGCATGATATACATAATAGTCCCAAATGTGTGTGCAATGTTTTTTTTTGTGTACTGACAAGATTTGAAAGATTTGTATAATGACATGTAGTTTTGTATACCGACATCTACTTTTGAATACTGACATAGTTATGTTTTGCATACATTGTAATGACCGAGTTACTTTTATTGGATGATACAACATCAGATTTGATGTTTATGCCAGGGAGTAAAAAATTATACATGATTTCCTGCACTGCTTTGTACAGCCCAAAATATGCTTGCAGAATCATTGTTATAGTTTGTTGGAAACCATCCATGTGATTCGACAACACTGCTACAGAATCTACAGGTCTTCCACACACCCCTACAGTAGTGTAACGGTCAGTGGACAAGTCTTCAGACTTGTACAGGAACTGGACACTTCCCCCTCCACAGGTCCTACTGCAGACCACCTCTCGTGTACGTTCCTCCACACTCCAGTCCTACTCAGGGTTACATGGCACAGTCTGTCATAGATGGCTCACATGAGATGATCCCACTCCAACTACACCAGACCACACAGTACAGTTCCACTGCAGCTGGGGTGGGGGAGGGGACGTCAGGACCAACTCCAGAGATAGGAGGCACTTGTGTCTTTCAGACTGTTCAGCTTGCTCACACTGCCCCATCTGTCTGGCATGTCTCTGTGAGGTTCAGTGAGAGATTGATGGCTGCCCTGCACCTGACCTGCCAGTCGGGATGTCGGGCCCCATCCTTACTGGACAACACAAACCATGTCAGATTGTTAGCGGTGATGGGGGGTTGGACTAGTCCGTCAGGAACTTGTGCCTCCTATCTCTGGAGTTGGTTCTGACGTCCCCTCCCCCACCCCAGCTGCAGTGGAACTGTACTGTGTGGTCTGGTGTAGTTGGAGTGGGATCATCTCATGTGAGCCATCTATGACAGACTGTGTCATGTAACCCTGAGTAGGACTGGAGTGTGGAGGAACGTACACATGAGGTGGTCTCCAGTAGGACCTGTGGAGGGGGAGTGTCCAGTTCCTGTACAAGTCTGAAGACTTGTCCACTGACCGTTACACTACTGTAGGGGTGTGTGGAAGACCTGTAGATTCTGTTGCAGTGTTGTAGAATCACATGGATTGTTTCCAACAACCTATAACAATGGTTAATAATCATGTAACATTCTTTCTACATGTAGACTCTGTTCCTGTGGTATCTACAGTAATCTTTATACACCTACGTGGACATGTGACAATTGTGTATTTTACATGAAGAGGCCTTTAGTAGCTAGCATTATTTATGAAAATCTTGATTTTATGTGGACTGTATATGTAATTTTAATGTTCTTGATTTCAAACACTGTCTGAACATCACGGGTTTTCAATTCAAATTTAACTTGTGATGAGTGATATAACAAACAATGCAGTATGACTTTAACATAATAAGCTGTAACATTACAATTTATCATTTTAAAAATATTTACAACTGTGTATTAGTGTTCATCACAGATTTACCTGTATCATAAGACTCCAGCATGATTGACTGTACAGCTATATGTCTTACCACCATGTTAAGCCGTGTAACAGTATCCATCTTTTTGTGTGTTCTGAAAGTTGTCATTTGTAACAATGTAGCAGAAAATATAGGTGTAGTCTCCACAGTACGGTATGAAGTTGTGTACATTAATAGCTATGTTACACATTGTATGTACCACACTTGGTAACACATGTAAACAATGTCTTACCATCAACTTAAGCCATGTAATGTACAACATTGTATATTTTTCAGGCTTCAGAAATTTTTCATTTGTTACAATATACAGTGTAGAAGAGAATGTTTGTGCAGACCCCACTGTGTGATATGAAGTAATGTTCAGCAGTACTCCATACTTCATGTGTTACAAACCATCTATACCACTTGACATGTCTGTTCATGTTTTACATTGCTAATAAATGCAGCATGTGGGATATATTCTGGCTCAGTCTCTGTTGTAGGTTCCTCTCATCATTGGTAGTGAATAACGCCTCAACATCAATTGTGCATCCACCAACAAAACTACATGGTGCCCCTGTCCCTGGTACTGAATGATACATCAACAAGACTGGTGTCCCTGTCCCTGGTACTGAATCATTGATGAACAAGACTGGTGGCCCTGTCCCTGGTACTGAATAACACATCAACAAGACTGGTGGCCCTTTTTTCTGGTACTAAATAACACATCAACAAGACTGGTGCCCCTGTTCCTGGTACTGACTAACACATCAACAAGACTGGTGTCCCTGTCCCTGGTACTAAATAACACATCAACAAGACTGGTGTCCCTGTCCCTGGTACTGAACAACACATCAACAAGACTGGTGCCCCTGTCCCTGGTGCTGAATGACACATCAACAAGACTGGTGGCCCTGCCCCTGGTACTGAAAAACACACCAACAAGACGGGTGATCCTGTCCCTGGTACTGAATAACACATTAACAAGACTGGTGGCCCTGTCCCTGGTGCTGAATGACACATCAACAAGACTGGTGGTCCTGTCCCTGGTACTAAAAAACACATCAACAAGACTGGTGTTCCTGTACCTGGTACTGAATAACACATCAACAAGACTGGTGTCCCTGTCCCTGGAACTAAAAAACACATCAACAAGACTGGTGGTCCTGTCCCTAGTACTAAATAACACATCAACAAGACTGGTGTCCCTGGAACTAAAAAACACATCAACAAGACTGGTGTTCCTGTCCCTGGTACTGAATAACACATCAACAAGACTGGTGGCCCTGGTACCAAATAACACATCAACAAGACTGGTGGCCCTGGTACCAAATAACACATCAACAAGACTGGTGTTCCTGTCACTGGTACTGAATAACACATGAACAAGACTGGTACCCCTTTCCCTAATACTGAATAACAAATTGACAAGACTGGTGGCCATGTCCCTGGTACTGAATAACACATCAACAAGACTGGTGGTCCTGTCCCTAGTACCAAATGACACATCAACAAGACTGGTGGCCCTGTCCCTAGGACTGAATAACACGTCAACAAAACTGGTGTCCCTGTCCCTGGTACTGAATCACAGATCAATAAGACTGGTGGCCCTGTCCCTGGTACTGAATAACACATCAACAAGACTGGTGTCCCTGTCTCTGGTACTGAATAACACATCAACAAGACTGGTGGCCCTGTCTCTGGTACAGAATAACACATCAACAAGACTGGTGGCCCTGTCCCCGGTACTGAATCACACATCAACAAGACTGCTGTCCCTGGTACTGAAAAACACATCAGCAAGTCTTGTGGCCCTGTCCCTGGTACTGAATCACACATCAACAAGACTGGTGTCCCTGGTACTGGATAACACATCAACAAGACTTCTGTTCCTGGTACTGAATCACACATCAACAAGACTGGTGTCCCTGTCCCTGGTGCTAAAAAAACACATCAACAAGACTGGTGGCCCTGTCCTTGGTGCTGAATTACACATTACCAAGACTGGTGTCCCTGTCCCTGGTACTGAATAACACATCAACAAGACTGGTGTCCCTGTCCCTGGTGCTAAAAAACACATCAACAAGACTGGTGGCCCTGTCCCTGGTGCTAAAAAAACACATCAACAATACTGGTGGCCCTGTCTTTGGTGCTGAATGACACATTACCAAGACTGGTGTCCCTGTCCCTGGTACTGAATGACAATTCAACAAGACTGGTGACCCTGTCCCTGGTACTGAATCACACATCAACAAGACTGGTGTCCCTGTCCCTGGTGCTAAATAACACATCAATAAGACTGGTGTCCCTGTCCCTGGTACTGAATCACACATCAACAAGACTGGTGTCCCTGTCCCTGGTGCTAAATAACACATCAATAAGACTGGTGTCCCTGTCCCTGGTACTGAATAACACATTAACAAGACTGGTGTCCATGTCCCTGGTGCTAAAAACACATCAACAAGACTGGTGTCCCTGTTCCTGGTACTGAATAACACATTAACAAGACTGGTGTCCATGTCCCTGGTGCTAAAAACACATCAACAAGACTTGTGTCCCTGGTACTGGATAACACATCAACAAGACTTCTGTTCCTGGTACTGAATTACACATTAACAAGACTGGTGTCCATGTCCCTGGTGCTAAAAACACATCAACAAGACTGGTGGCCCTGTCCTTGGTGCTGATTGACACATTACCAAGACTGGTGCCCCTGTCCCTGGTACTGAATAACACATCAACAAGACTGGTGGCCCTGTCCCTGGTGCTAAAAAAAACACATCAACAAGACTGGTGGCCCTGTCCCTGGTGCTGAATGACACATTACCAAGACTGGTGCCCCTGTCCCTGGTACTGAATAACACATCAACAAGACTGGTGTCCCTGTCCCTGGTGCTAAAAAACACATCAACAAGACTGGTGTCCCTGTTCCTGAATAACACACCAACAAGACTGGTGTCCCTGTGCCTGGTGCTAAATAGCACATCAATAAGACTGATGGCACTGTCCCTGGTGCTGAATGACAATTCAACAAGACTGGTGGCCCTGTCCCTGGTACTGAATCACACATCAACAAGACTGGTGGCCCTGTCCCTGGTGCTGAATAACACATTAACAAGACTGGTGTCCCTGGTACTGAATAACACATCAACAAGCTAAGACTGGTGTCCCTGTCCCTGGTGCTGAATAACACATCAATAAGACTGGTGGCCCTGCCCCTGGTGCTGAATAACACATCAACAAGACTGGTGTCCCTGGTACTGACTAACACATCAACGAGACTGGTGCCCCTGACCCTGGTACTGAATAACACATCAACAAGACTGGTGGCCCTGACCCTAGTACTGAATAACACATAAATAAGACTGGTGTCCCTCTACCTGGTACTGAATAACACACCAACAAGACGGGTGATCCTGTCCCTGGTACTGAATAACACATTAACAAGACTGGTGGCCCTGTCCCCGGTACTGAATCACAGATCAACAAGACTGGTGCCCTGTCCCCGGTGCTCAATGACACATCAACAAGACTGGTGTCCCTGTCCCTGGTGCTGAAAGACACATTAACCAAACTCCTGGTCTTATCCCTGGTACTGTAGCAGTAACCCTAAATTAAGGTTAGCTAACCCTAAATTAGGGTTACAGCAACCCTAAATTAATAACATATTTGCATGTTCATGCCTATGGGGCTAAATGCATAAATCAGAGTGTGATGTTACATGTACATCATACTGAGTAATATTATACATAGGATACAAGGATAACAGAATAACAGAATGACGTAAAAATCTTAACAACTACTAGAGAATAAACTAATTCTTGAGGATTTCTCCTCTCTTTTTGAAGCAATTGGAGACAACGTTTTCTATTGTATGGTCATTACTGGTGGACATGAGATGACTGAATACATCTTTCTTTGTTCTACCTTTATACAGTTTGTCTAAGTGGATTGTTCTAAATAGTGTGTCTCGTTCAATATCAAACAATTTACAATCAAGTTACAAAATGTATTTCATCTTCTACGCTACCAGAGTTACAAACCTTACAGAGTCTATCCTCTACAGGACTCCGGTTATGTCTGCCGGTTTCTATGTGTAAATTATGGACACTAATTCGTAGTTTTGACATGCTTCGGCGATGCTCGGGATTTGGGATACTTAGGTATTTTTCTTTATCATATGTAACTTTGAATAGTTTGTATGTTCTTAATTTGTTACCTTGGTTGTTTCCTCGGCCGTTTGAGTTTAATTCAGAATAGAATTTCTGTATGAAAATATATTGTTGTCTTTTCTTAAAATCAAGTAAATAAGCAGACAAGTTCAGACTGTTGTTTGTAAATAGAAAGGCGTAACCGGACACCTCTAACATTCTTACATTAGACAGCCATCAGAGTACATGTTGTCGATCTAAGTCTTAATTAATAACCCTAATTTAGGGTTACTGTAATTTACTGTAAATAAGGGTTAATTAGCGTAACAGTAACCCCCGCCCGATGCAATTAGGCACTTGGTGTTTTACGCGATTAGAGTTTATCAGACCTCCAACTCGTTACCTCCTCCTAGCTAGGTGAGGCGGGCGGCGGAGAGCTCGTACAGCCCCGACGAGAGCCCGTCCAGACCACGATAGACCATACCAGGTTAGGCTTGGATCAGCTACAACCCGTGCGGGCTAATCTCCAAGCAGATCTTTGAAGGCAATATTAATTAATAACGTGATGGTTTCTGACTGGGCCCAAGATGTGACCGCACGGCCCTAGGGCCTAGTCAGACACGGTCACTATTTTCAACTCCAAAGATCTGCTTTGAGATTACTTGCGGCCCCTTTGGAAATGTGACCAAGATATAAGTATATCCTTTTTTATCTCAGCAATAAGACACGGCGTTGTATGCTAAAAAATCAAATGTGTA